CCTCCAGTCCTCAGAGACTTCTCCAGAGAGCCACAAGTTGTGGAAGAGTTTTGCCAGGAACATTTATATACCCAGACAGCCACCTCTTCTCAAACAATCTGTAAGGCTGAGACAGAAATTACACACAAACTGGAATAAGTGATTGGAAACTGGTTCAAATCTGTAACGCAACAGAAGTTCAGTGCGCAGAAACTGCTTTCAGAATGGCCAAAACTGGTTTAAGAGAAACCTGGATGGATGTAGTATCAGACTTAATTGATTTAGGTTAAATCAGTTTATTGAATTTCTGTCCCAGATCCCCTCCAGATTCAAGTTAACTCGCAGTTCCCCAGCATCCCAGGATGATTTGAACCTACCTGGAAACCCTCCCCTTGCAGGGTGGGCAGGCTAGCCTTGGCCCAAGCTGTCTGCTCCAGCAGAGCTGGGAGGCATGCTCTAGTGCCTCCCACCCCAGTTTTTGGCTTAAGCTATTGTAGGCATGTGGCTGCATTTCTGGAATCAAAAATGAATGTTTGTTCATTTGCTTATCAGTTCAATCTATACAGCTTAGACTAACCTGCAAAAATTGCATTGATTCAGCCTTGGCCCTTCTGACTATCTGTACTTAGCTTAAATAACTAATGCTTTATTGCACGGGTGGGCAAAATGCAGCCCTCAGGCCAGGTGCAGCCTACCAGGCCATTCTATCTAGCCTGCAGGGCTCCTTAAAAATTTGGAAAATTAATATTTGTCTGCCCCTGGCTGCCTGTCATGCAGCCCTCGATGGCTTGCCAAAACTCAGTAAGCAGCCCAAAATAATTGCCTGCCCCTGCTTTATTGAGTTTGTATGCCATAGGTAAGTGTTTCCAGAATGCAAAACAGATACAAACAGTGCACATAAACATATTGATTACAGGTGTGCTTACATTCCTTCTTCACCTGAGACTGAACAGTTAAAACTAATGTCTGCAGATTTACAATTCTCAGCCAGAAGTCTCATGACCCTGGGCTGACCTTGCAAGTCTTTCAGCTAGCAAAATGCGTATTTATCTGCCCTTCTAAGCACTGGAGAGGATCTGGAGAAGATCTATAGAAATGAGCTCTTAGCTGTACAAGGAATAAGCAGATCAGGCTCCGTACAGTAGAGCTGCCACTTGGTGCAGTTCTGGTTGGCTGCTAGAGGGGAAGTTGTCAGTTTACTGAAGGTACATGCAGAAACAGGAGAAACAGCTGGAAGGAAGACCTGAAGGAGGCACAAGCAGACAACATCTCAAATCCTGAGCCAGGAACAATTTCAAACCCCAGTTACCTTGTATCCCTAAATAGTATATTGATGTTCTTTTGATATTGGTAGTTAGCATAGGGATGTACAGCCAACTTACCGTGCTATAAAAAGGGGGTTGCTGTGCCATAACTACCTGCATGCACACGCTTATCCCACAGTATGTGGAAGCATAAACCGTGATAGCCTGCTGTGAATATGCATAGAGGTGGTTACTGCAGAACAGTTGACATGTGGTAAAGCCCTCTTTTTAGCTTCTGGGAACCTGTTTGCCTTTTCCCAAGGGTTTCATGATATTTGAGCTTGTTTTATCAAAGCTTATATTTTTTTCAGCTTGTAAATAAGGTCATGCTTAAGTAACTGCTTTGTAATTACACACCAGGGTAAGTGATGAGAAGGATGCCCGTGGATACCTTCAGGCATTGGCTTCCAAGATGACAGAAGAACTAGAATCTCTGCGAAGCTCCAGTCTGGGATCAAGAACATTAGTAAGTCAACTGCAAGTGGTTAGAAATTGCTCTAATTTATGAGGTTGAAAATACTTACACTTTTGGCTTCAAATTTTTCCATGTTCATTTATCAAAAAAACATATACTGAACTGACAACCTGAGATCTTTATGAATTAGACAGTGCTTTGCTTCTAATTGTACCATTTTGTGATGCCCATTTTAACAATGCAGTTAGAATGTGGTGAAATCCTTTATTTTGCCTGTTGCCCATATCTGGCATAATTGTAAACTGTGTCTTAAAACCAGACTAAAAAATTCAGTAACAAAAAACACTTAATGTTAACAAAAGAGAATATTTTAATACACCATCACAGACGGATGTTAAATGGTTAATAATACCTGGTGGCATTTTTGTAATATTTAGGAGCAGTAGTTATGGACCGAGGCCCACTGTAGTAGGAACTGAACAAATGAGCAAAAAAGACCCTGCCTCAGAAGTTTATTGTGATATATTTAGGCTATAATGACAGCAAAATGTGTCTGTTGCTGTTGACACTTAATAAAACCCTGTTCAGAGAAGGAGCATCCAGTCTTAAGGTAACTGCAACAGTAGTGACAGTCCAGCCTTGAGGTAACTGCAACAGCAAGAGGCAGCAGTTTGAAGAAGGGTGACAGCTCTCTTTTTGTCTGTTGTCTTTTTTCATGTTGGCAGTAAACAATACAAGATTGATTGGATAGCTCCAGCAAATTCTGTTTTAATTTATCAATTACAAATTTCAGTCAATATTTAGGAAATCCGTCAACATTTAACAAGTTATAGTCTCTTAGTTACTTGCTGGTGATCTGTGGACACCAGGATGATAATTTGGTGTTCTCTTCCCTGTTTTCAGCTGTTAAGTTTATTTAACCAACAAAAAAAATATTGTTCTATTTGCCATTAGAATGCAACTGGGTGGAGAGACATCCCTAAGATAACATCCAAATTATAGTCCACATTAGAAAGTCTGAGAATCCTAGGGATTGGGAAACCTCAAATTTTGCTGTCCTAAAGAACACCATTTCTATGGTAGTAAGTGCAGAACTGGTCTGTATCTTAAATTTAGTGCATAATCTAGAGTAAGACTAAAAAAATGTATATACACTTAGGCATGTGCTCTAGAACCCTAGGAGCAGATGTTGCATTTGTCCCTGGATTAACTGTGTACGTGTTTGCCCTCGGACAAAAATATCCTGGGATTGATACATACACACTAGGGGTGTGAAAAATGGGCTGTATGCGATTCAGATTTGGCCTTAATCGGGGACAGTAATTCAATTGGTAGATTCAGATCACTATCCTCGATTCAATTCAGCTGAATCCAAATGTGAAGATTTGATGCTGATTTGGAGAATCGGTGATTTGGCCATAGACACAGCTTTAAATTTTTTTTTCTATATACCTTGAGGTACCAGGCGCAGCTCACGAAAGCTGCAGTGCTGGGGCAGATGGAGCATCCCATAGGAGCTGATAGTTGTTTTTAATCTTAGCTTTCCTGAAAGCTGTTACACATTTTAACTGGTGGTCTTTATTTGACTTTATTAGTTTAAACTTATGACAGTGAAATGATGAATATGTGATTCAAGTAAAGATCTTAAGGACAAAATGGGGGAGGTCTTGTTTTATCTGCCTTTTCTATTCTGTTTGTAAATACCAAAGAAATGTTGGGAGTTGATGTTCACGTTCCATAACTTACCCCTGCAGGATCCACTTTGGAAAGTGCGGCGCAGCCAGAAGCTGGATATGTCAGCCAGGCTGGAATTGCAGTCTGCTCTTGATGCAGAAATACGTGCCAAACAACTAGTTCAAGAAGAGCTACGAAAGGTTAAAGATACAAACATATCCTTTGAAAGGTAATAAATAACTTGTTCAGCTTGAATATGTTACAGGCTGTTACCTTTAGTGTGCTACTCTTAACCACCTGTCAAAATAACAAACATTTAAATTCCCCTGTTATGCCAAGAACATTTCATCATGATATAAAGTGTGACTATTGCAATGTTTAAATTAAGCTGTAAAAGAAATGAAGATTTAGTGAAGTAAAGCTGACAATTAATTGGTCTTAAATAACAGGGCAAGTATTGCCAGTGCTCAAAGAAAATGAGATCTCCAGTAAAAAAAAAAATTTTTAAATCCTAATTTCTTGCTCTTTAAAGTTAAAGATTTCCATTTTACTGTTTCAGTAAATTAAAGGAATCTGAAAAAATAAATCGGGAGCTGTTTGAAGAGATGGAAGTCTTGAAGAAAAAACTGGAAGAAAAATACAGAACAGATGCAGGTAATTAAGTTTAAGTTATAAAATCATTTTAGTATTAAACAGTGTGTTTGAGTAAAATTAATGTGGTTTTGGGGGGATTTAATTTTTTTTCAGGTCTCAAACTTCCTGATTTCCAAGATTCAATATTTGAATATTTCAACACCTCACCCCTTCCACGTGATCTGACTTTTAGAGTAAGTTTTAAACTAATTGACTACAAAAAAGTGGCCTATGGGTTTTGAATTAGCTAAAGGTTATGCATGGACAATAAACAATAAATTAGAATCTGTCAGAAGTACAATATGAAAAGCAAATTACCTAGCCTAAGAAGTCAAGTTATGGATCCTCTTCTCCAGTTAATGCCGTATCACTTAGCTTTAGTTATTGGTAACTTAAGGAAATATTCCCAAAGTCTTACTTCAGTGTAAACAAAGCAGGAAAATGTGAAATATTCTGGTTCAGCAGACAGCAGTCTTTTCAGGTTTCAGGCTAAGTGCTAGGACCTGGCTGCTGCTGCCTCTTCTCTCCAAGACAGCATGGAGACAGTTTCTGTGGCTGAAGCCCCACATCCACAGTCCGTGGGTTGCCACCCCTGGTCTAGCTTGGAACTTTTGTTGACTCAATAATGCATTCTTTTTTTTGCTTAATTAGCTCTGACTTTTAAGACAAAAGAAAGGACATCACAAACAGCTGCTGATGAGGCAGTAGTAGAATGCTTTGCATTTCCCAAGAAAATGCATTCATAAGACATAAAAGGGGTCTAAACCAGAGGTGGGCAAAATACAGCCTGTGGACTGGATCCAGCCCACCAAGGGAATGGATCTGGTTCACAGGTAGGTGGCAACTCCAGCTCTGGAAGCTGCTGGCCACATGTGGGCAGCTGTGGACGTGGCCAGCAGCTGCCGGGTCCAGACCAAGCGGGGGGCGGGGGTGGAGTGGGGGAGCGCCAAAGCTGCAGGCAGGTGGACTCTGGGAGATGGGGAGAGGAAAGTGGGTGCTAAAGCTGTGGGTGGGTTCAAGCTTCTGTACTGGTTGCAGCCTTTAGAAGGGAGGGATTGGGAGAGGGAGGTCACCGGTCACCAAAGCCCATTAAGTGGCCCACCAGCCCAAATAATTGCACCCCCTGCCCCTCAGTGCCCCCCCACCTCGGTCTAGACTAATAGATAAGATCATTGACTCAGCTTTGAACTCCTATGGGGGATGTTATAGTAGAAGATACTGAAAAGAGACACAGAGGACTCCCACTGTTGGTAGAATCCAGATGCAATGTTTTCAAAATTTGTTGTTGGCGTGTTGCCGTCCTGACACACCCACCGATTTTTGGAAAATCCAGTTGTACAAACTGTGGCTGAGATCAGGCGTTTATATGTAAAGTTTTTGTACTTCCCCTGAGGAGGCAGCTGTTATACAACAGTGAATCGCTTTTCCTTACTTTATGAAGTCTTGATCTTTGAAGAGTTTCTGGATATGTTTTGTTAAACAATTTAAACTATTCAGAATGACAGTCATGAGCACTCTAGAGATAAAACTGTAATATAAAATCCCCTTTTTTTATGGAGTTGTAGTTGTACAGTAGGATTAAAACATGCTGTCTAGCTACATTTTGTATTTAGGAGGTGCTGCCATAGAAATACTGTGCTTTCTATATTATTTTCAAGTTGTTGCTGTTGCCAGGGAGAAAACGCAGGGCCATTCTGTGATGTTTGTTACATGCAGTACTTTTAAAAAGCAAGATTTAAAGCAAAACTTGACTTTTGTAAAAGCACTTTGTATGAATAAGGTTTGAATTGCTGTTTGACTTTATTAGAAAAGGAAACTGAATGTATTTAAGACTCTAATACGTAGAACACTAAATGCATATTATTAAAACACAATCCCGTATCAGAAACTGCTGTAAATGTGTAGATGTTAGGAAAAGTTTAAGTATCACTTCCTAATGAATTGCAGAGTAGAATACTGAATATTCTAGTCAGCAGTTTTCATTAACTTTTTTTAAAGTACACTGACAATATACCTCCCTTTGATCTTCCTCCCAATTTAGTTTATGCATATATCAGGTTGCCACGTAAACATTTTATTTAGTTAGCCTACTAATATACCTCCTGAAGTTCTCTTGTGGGTGATCAGCGATCATTTTTATCCCTCATGTTACAACAAAGGATTCTGTTTCTTCTTCATCTACATCCTCTCTGCTAGCCTTTTGGGAAGAAGTAAGTTCTTGTTGTGATAGTTTTGCCTCCTGCATTTGTGACCTGTATTTGTTAAACGGCATCCTAAAACTAGTGGATTTTTTTGTGCTTTAGCTTTTCATACAAATTAACCCACTAAGTAGAACTAGTTTAGTTTTTATTTAAACTTCTTTGCAGGCTGACTATTTTAAGATATCTTGACAATATTTGTACTAAAGATGAATCTTGTTTTATCATGTTAACATTGTATTTTACACAATGATATCTAACTTGCTATTGATTTTTAATTCATCAGTACGTCACTACCAATCGGAATATACCAAAATATCTGTATGTACTCAGTGTGCTAACTGTATTGAGCTATCTTCCCTCTCAAGTGTGAAGAATGACTGACTCATTACTCAGCAGTCTTCACTGCTAATTACATCATTTTTAAAAAGTTTTAATCACATGTTTGTTAATCACAATCTCCATTATATCCTCAGAGTGCGATCCTGTAGTATCACTGTTTCCTACCCAGCTGCTTTAGTTCTTTAATTTCAGAATTGTAGCATACTACCCCCTTGTGCTGATAATTAGTAGTAGCTAGAGTAAGTGTGAATTTAATAAGAAGCTTGTGATGGATATTAATCACCAACATTAGTGAAATATGATATGATTATCATTAGAATTCTCTCATCCTATTAAGCGGTGTAATAGAATTATATTTATAGAATTCTTGAAAGACTTCTCAGCTATCAAAAATAAATTGCATGAAGTCACTGAGAACCTTTCTTTTGGTGGCTTCTGTGCACTCCAGAATCCCTACAGCAGTAAATTATCTTAACTATCCTATGGATTGTTTGCCAGAAAGCCTGCCTTCATCTTCTACCACTATGCAGGAGATTAGAAACCACCTTCTAAAATACGATTGGTGGATCCAAGTATGTCATAAAGACGCCTTCAAGATTTCTGGGAAGAGACTGTTGTTACAGCTACAGTCCCATCTACTATTTGGTAGATTTTTTTAAAATCCGATGCCTCCATACATACAATGTTGTCAGTACAGCATAGATCTATGTCTTTAAAAAACAAATGTTAAATAGTGTTTATAAAAACTAACAGAGCTCTAAATGTTGTCCTGGGCAAGCTGTTTTTGTCAGGTCAATAGCTTTAACCACGTTCAGATTCATTTCACGTTGACCTAGGACCATTCCTTCAGGCTTGTAGTATTAATCTAATTTGTTTGCTGTTATTTCTGCAGACGAGTTCTGTTAGTGAGCAAGAAACACAAGGTCCCAAACCAGAAGTCTCACCATCTACTTCTGTCATGACTGCTGAGCAGCAACAAGAAGTAAGGCAGCTGGTATTTTATTATCCCGACTTAATTCACTTGAGAGTCTTTTATATACATGTGACATGTTATAAATATATTGCAGACATCATTCACCATGAAGAGGCGTACTCCAGCACTGAGTTTTTGCTTGTGTATAGACACCTGTCAGTGTTAAGTGCACCTGCTTTGCAAACAGTTGCAAGTGGAATCTTCCTCCAGTTCTGTATATGTTGATGTACTCCATTTTCATACCTGTTTTTTGTAATGCTGCTTGTTGTTAGTGTGCAGGCTTTCCTGTGAGTGCTTTCCAATATGATCTGCTCACAGTAAATTAGAAATGGCAATACACTGTACAATCTATACTTACAATCTTTGCAAATTTTAAAGAACTTTACCCACTCCAATTCTAGAATAAATTCTTGAAGCTTAATTATCTTCAACTGCAGTTTCTTGTGATTCAGGAATCAATTCGGCTTCAGAGGATGCCTGCTGCTCCCTCCCCCACCATTCAGTCCATTTCTCTAGCTGTACCAAAGGTAGGGGGACCTTGTTCACCTTATTTCTGCAAACTAAAGGGTTTGTTTTTTTTTAAACAAATAGCTGTGCAAATGTATGTTTGCTTTTGTCCTGTCTCGGTTTGTCGCTTGTTGTTTTGTAAGTTTGTTTAATTAAATGTTCCTAAATGCAAATTGTTCAGTCATTTTTAGTTTTTCCCAAAAGGGGGAGAGAATTTCAGACTGGGTCATTGTAGGTTTGCAGGGTTTATTTGTACTCTGGTTCTGCTGCAATCTTGAGTATGCATTGGAAGTAAAAGCACTTACAGTATTATTTGGAAAGAAAGTTCTGACTTGCAACACTTTTAACATGTTACAGTTACTTAAAAGAAGCCTGGATTTATGAAGTAGCTTTGGTTTATCTTGAATTTATCTTTCAGCCTAAAGCTCACCAACTCAGCATCAAGTCCTTCACGAGCCCTACTCAGTGCAGTCACTGCACATCTCTTATGGTGGGATTAGTTCGACAAGGCTATGCCTGTGACGGTGAGTCAGTGTAACAATTCTGAATGTTCAGTAACTTAGCCAAATAAAACAATTTGTTCTACAGCGACAAGTTACTCCACTGGAAAAACAGCTGTTGCATCTTTTTCTTCCTACCTTCTTGCATCTGCAGATTTGAATCAGATGAGGAATGAAATTCTCAAGTTACTTAAACTTATTAATTCCATCTTCCTGCACCATCTTTTTACTAACACTATCGCTATAGCAGGCTTCCTATAAAATGAAGGAATAAATGCTGCGGAAGTTGTTGCCATAATTGAAATTTAACAGTTTTCACTGTCCTCATCTTAATCTATACATTGGGAAGCATATGTGCCTCTCTGCTTTTACTCACAAGTCATGAATGTAATCAAATTCTGTCAATTTTTCTAGCTTGGTATCTTCAAAATCCATTCTTCCCCCCTCTGTTTTGTAGTATTCTGATCTGTAGTAGAAGTGTTGCTGTGAAAATATTTCTGTGCCTTAAATATTCTTTCGCCTTGATTACTGTCACTGCTCTCTGACATAACATGTCCAAACAAATCTGTCCCAAAAAAACACTGCAAAAGTTATCTTCGGGTGTCGCTATGCCCAACTCAGTTCACTCCTTATTCTCTCCATTGGTAACTTTCTGCATTGTATTCAGCCTCCTTGTTCTTGCCTTCAGGGCCATTTGCAGATGATTGGTAGTCAACTCCCATCCCCCTTCAGCTCTACCAGAAGCACCTGCTGCTCTAACAGCACTCACTTTGAGGCAGGCACCCTTTTGTCTCCTGCTGCATGTAACTGCTTTTGTTCCATACCATTCCTTCATCACTCTTGTGCTCTAGTGTATCTGAAAATCTCACTTCCCTATCCCCACAACAAAGCATTCCACCATTGCTCTCCCCATTGTCACTTCCATGCCAAGTCATAGTACTTAAGCTAATTGATATCAGGTTTGTTTTGCAATAGGAGGTTTAAGAGATGTTTCCATCTTTCCCCTTGTTCATTTTCCAGGGGCTTGTTGTCTTAGCTCCTTCTCCCTTCCACTTGCCCCCCATGCCCACAACTCTACACCCCACATGCATTTTAGATGCTGATGACTTTACAATATAAAAGACTTAGTAATTTCTCAGTATATGGACCTCGTCTTGCTGTGTGCATGTTAAAGCACCATGTTTGCATAATTATACAAAGTGTGAAAGGTGCTTTATAGATAACAGGTCCTTTTCCTTCTAAGTGTTGCAGTTGAAATAGACAGCGCACGCAGAAATTTGAGGAAGGTATGCACCAGTTAGTTGGGTAGATGTTTGCCCCCTTTTTTAAAAAATTCTTGCCTACATGTGCGCCTTTTTATAGCACAATAATATTAACACTCTTCTATTAACCTCTTTTATTTTATGGCAAAGTTTGTTTTCTGTTATAATAATGTAACTGTCCTCTTTTTCTGTAAAATCTAATTTCCCTTTTTATTTTAACTGTCTCATTTTTTCTTATTTACCCATTAAATTAGCACCGTCCAGTATTAACTTACCCTAACCACCCCCCTGTTCTTCCATTTTATTTCATATCTTTCTGCCCAATATCCATCTTAACTCCCAACTCTTCATTACCTCCTTCATCTTCTACCTGAATTAATGAAGTTGGTGTTGATGACATTAGGTGGGGCTTCCCAAATCATATTACTTCAGAAGAAGGCTGGGTTACCTCAAGAGGAGTGGTGGCAGGGCTGCTGCCCTACTTGATACGGGTGTATAAAAGAAAGTGGTGTTTAGGAGTCTGTCATGACAAATGGATCATAAGCATGCTCGTCTAACATAATGTGCTGCTGTCATGTATGCTGCTGAGCTATTTCAATCTAATGAATTGGTTTCTTTCTTATAAGAGTAGAAAATATTCATCACCTGTTAAGATTAATCAATCTTCACAAGACTTCCATCCTGGATTTTCTCTTTTGCACCCAGTGTGTTCCTTCGCATGCCATGTTTCTTGCAAGGACAGTGCACCTCAAGTCTGTCCTATACCGCCTGAACAAGCCAAAAGGCCTCTTGGAGTAGATGTGCAAAGAGGGATAGGAACTGCCTATAAAGGTTATGTCAAGGTAAGAATCTTTGACTTTGGACCTGAAGAGGGTTGTTTTTTTTCTTCCTGGTATAATTGCAAACTTAATACAAAAGCAAGCCATATTTGCAGTTTGCTACTAGAAACCCTAACCTTGCTTAACTGTATCCCCAAGTAACGCTGAAGCTCTGGGGCTTAGCACAATTCACACTTACCCTTTTGTTACAGATAAATGAGCAATCTTACTTGAGGACTAGCGCAGGGCAGCTATAATTGTCACCAAAATGAGACAGAACACTTTTTTGTGCAGGAAAAAATCTGTGCTATAACATAGTGGAATTTTGTTATGTGCCATTTGTGGAATCTCTTTAAATACACAACCTGATTTTACCTTACAAAATGCTGAATTGCAGAACTAGCTTAAGCAGAAAACGGGGAGCTTCATGAAGAAATACTCAGCTGTTCTTCAACTTTTCCCTCCTATTTGGAAATATAATTGAAATTGGGTGGTCAGGCTCCATGCTTCTTTAATGCAATGAAGTCTGCTTTACATGTCCTCACTTCCTATGTCTGACCAGTCAAGTTTCCACATAACAAGCAAGCAACTATTTACATGCAGGTTCCAAAGCCTACTGGAGTTAAGAAAGGGTGGCAGAGGGCCTATGCAGTCGTGTGCGACTGCAAACTCTTTCTGTATGATGTGCCTGAAGGAAAATCCACCCAGCCTGGAGTTGTTGCAAGTCAAGTGTTGGATCTCAGGTTTGTGTTGTTTTACTAGCTACAGTGTAAAACCTCTGTTATTTTTTTTCTTAAGTGAAATGTTTCTCTAATGGTAAATACAAGGCTCCTGTATTTTAAGGGCGCTGTTCTGAGGTGATCTATGCCTTCCAAAATCAGGCTTCAGTTTAGGTTGAGCAGAAAGAAGGGGTTGCAGCACTGCATTTTCATGTAAACAACATTAATTCACGTCCTCTTGTGAGTTGTATGTGCATCTTGGGCAGACAAGTCACAGTGAAGTAAAGCACAGGGAAAGAGCTACTCTGAACAGGCCATTTCAGAAAACTTTGGACAGGGCCAGCGGGAAGAGTAAAGGAAGACAGGTTCCAAAAAGCACTGAACTTACCAATTTACAGCACATATGATCCCAGCACTGACTGACTTTGTTCACATGGAACTGGTTTTAGCCTAAGAAACTTTTTTTCCTCAGTAAGTCTTTTTCTTTCAATTTTTTACCTTCTGAACTAAAATGTGAATTTATCATGATTACTGTGACAATGGCAAGAGAAAATGCCCCATCTTGTAAGGTGACAGCACCTTGGTCTTTGGTTAGCATAGAATCTGCTTATACAAATACCGTGATTTATGATCCCTTCCAAACAGATTCATGTCAAGGGGCAGCATACTGCTGCTCTCTTCTCACAGTAATTCTGTCAGAGGGTTGAGCCTACTTGGCATCTGAAGATCCATGGTGTAAATTGACACTGGGAGCAGGAACGTGGAGGCATTGCAAATAACAGCATTCACATTAATGAAATGCCTAGGGCAGTTTAGTCGGACATGATTCTTAGCAGGCTTCTTCTTTAGCTGTTATTAAAAGCTGCTTCTTTGGGCTTGTCTCCATTGGGATTTGTAGTGTTTTTAATGCAGGTTAATCATCTTGGTTGCAAAGTCTAGTGCAGACGGGACTGAAATGCACAACTAAAGGAGCAAGTGTCAGTGACTCCTTTACATGAGAATTTACAACTGTTGTGATTAACTTGTCCAGGTACAATTTAAAGAGCCTAGAGTAGACACGCCCATTGTGGTAGGACCTGATCCAAATTGCACTAGAGATAATTGTGATGTACACTGTTTATGTGATCATCAAAAAAAGGAAATTCCATCCATTTGAAAATATAAGCGCACTCCTGTATTTGAAACCCACAAAAAGTCCACCTGTTCTGTTGAGTGCTTTTGATGTCTGTTTGCAATGGGTAACTTCACTTTGAGCTATCGGTATTCATTTCTAAAATCTGTGGATTAAAAGAGCGGCTCTCCCTTTCCAAACCCTTGGTATAAGAGGCCTGATGAATCTCTGATGTCCGGACAGACTGAGCCCATCCACATTGACCACTTCAGGGCTCCATGCAGGTTCAACAGGCCCATATGCATGCTATAAGTTGTTGGACCAGAATCCAAATCTGTAAGATCCTTTGGAAACATTCTCCCTGTCCCACTATGTGTACCTTTTCTAGCACACGAGATCGCTAGATGTTATCACAATAATGACAGGGTGCAATCCCTCAAAGAGGCTGATATCAGTTTCTTTAGAAGTTTTATATTGCCATGTTAGTAATGTTGTTTTATTTCTTACTAGAGATGAAGATTTTTGTGTGAGCTCTGTCTTGGCATCAGACGTAATACATGCCACCCGTAAAGACATCCCTTGTATATTCAGGGTATGACTTTCAACCTTTCTTTTAGAGAAAATGCACATTAGGTATTAGTATTGCGATATTTTCATCATTGTTGTCCATAGAGTTGTTTTTCATTAAAGAGTAAAATTTGATTTTTATCAGATTGCAGAAATAACCCAAATAAACAGGTAAAGAAGGTTTGAAAATTCAAAGGAAGAGGGTCTGATTTTTCTCCATAAGTGAACTGTGAAGTGCAAAAGGTCTTCTGTACCTTTTTATTGCAGCTTTATAATACATAAAAATTGGTAATAAATTTTAAGTATTACGTTGATTTTTGAAATACAGTGATTAGGGTTTTCACTTTGCATTGGAATTATAAGATCCTGGTTTTTATTTTCTTAGTTTATGTAGGACTCTGGCTAGAACCATAGGAATTTTGATCCTAGCAGGCTGAAACCAGAGCTGCATCTTGCCTGCCTTCCAATTGGTTATGTAATATTATAATAAAACTTGCACATATATCATAATGATATACTGCAGAGGACCATTAAAGGGCAAGAGTAATAACTTTCCATGAGTTCCACTTCACCTTCAGTGTGTTAGTTTAGTCACCCAAACATTTAAGTTTTCTTAGATGACTTCTGCAGATTCTTTAACCTTAAAGAAGACGAAGATTGTACTGTCCTAAATAGCCAAAATGTTAATCCCCTGAGGTTTTTTTCTTTGCAAATACTTCTTTGCGATCCTGTCAATTATGGAACTTCACCTTAGTGAGCATGGAAGCAGATGAGCTGTCAATCGCAAGCAATCACAGTTCTTCATACCATTCCCTAAGCAAAACTACAAATGTTCTGTCCTATTTGTAGAAGCAGCTTAAGGGATACTATAGTTTTTTAGCCTCTTTTAGATGATATTTTCTGCAGTGAGTTTTTTATCCCTTTGTTTATTGCTTTTCTGCCTTATACTGTCTTCCAATTTTTTAAATTTCCCCTTGCTGCTGCTGCCCAAAGTCTTCTCTTAAAGCAGTGAGTAGCCTTTTTTTTTCGAGGCATGCGAGAGAACTTTTGAAGATGGCTATATAGAAAGTTTTACGAGTGTAGGGTGCACAGAATGGCTGTCTAACTGAACTGAGCTCTCTGACTACGTCCACATCACTGAATTAAAGACCATGCAGCTCAGAAAAGAAAACTAACAAACTCCACTGGCATGACCACCCAAGAATAAAGTCACAGGCTATTAATTGAAAAAGGTGTTACTTGAACCTTTGCTTTGATCCTTCCACAGATAGCTGTCTGTTTCTTTGTCAGGTTTGTGGCATCTTATATATGGCTAAAATATACTTGTTAGGATCCTGACAAACAGATGTCATTCACTGTGTTGGTAGGACATCTACACATTTACAGGGTAATTTAGCTTTTGAGGGAGTTTTGGACAATGTGGTGCCTGGAAACTGTCTCCAGCCCAGGTTCTTTAAAGATTGGTAGTTTTGCCATTCTGCAGATAGCTGGATACAAGAGATTAATTCAGTGTGACTATTGCAAGTTGGTCTTATGAAAGAATTGTTTCATTAAGTCCAACATCTCAAGAAACCCAACAGAAGACAATTCAGAGATCACTTTTCCTGTCCCTGATGTTGAGAAGCAATGTACAGAAAATGAGAACAGTTCTTCACCAAAAGATTCTGAGCAAGCACAAGAGACACTTAAGGTTTTGGACAGAAACAGCTTCATCCACAATGAATAGCATCTCCTCCAGGACTGCTTTTCAATGATGGACCAAGAGGCAGAATTTACCCATTGATGTTTGACACTGTTTACTTCTATTATTAATACAGAAAATATGGCCATGCCCTGACCCAGACTATTCTCAAAAGACCAAATGATGTCAGGTACCTAAAAATATGTATCTTCATCTCTTCTTGGGTGACATACTCACAAGGCTTTTTTTGCCATGCTGTGACAGGGCAAGTATAGGTTGCCACTATAATAAGCCTGCCATGGGTCTACAAGTCTTCAGCAGTGGAGCAGATAGAAGATGTTAGACTCTCAACAGCTGTGAAGGCAGACAAAGGCTGCAGCAGAACAAGAGTCCAGTTGTCTTGACTTCCTTGCCGTTGGATTAAGGTCCTGTTCTGTCAAGAACCATGTGGAAGATGAGATGCAGCAGCTTTTTCATGATAAAAGCAGTCATGCATAGGTGTCTTCCATGAAACCTCACAAAAGCCTTTGACTGTCAGACAGGATCCTCCACAGTGCTTCTTTCTGAAGTACAGATGCCTGCTGAAATTCATCACCATTCTTTGCCTGCTCCATGACAGTAGGTGAGCGATGGTTCTCAATAATGGATCTATCACAGATCCCTTTGAAGTCAAGATGGGAGTTAAGCAAAGCTGCATCATCACTCCAACACACCTCTCGATATTCCTTACCCCAGTGCTACATCTGACCAGTCAGTGGCACTAAACTACTGAATGGATGCTAAACTGTTTAATCATCAAGCTCCAGTACACTGATGATGCTGTAATGTGCGCTTACTCAGAAACAAACTTTCAGGCAATTGTCAACGTCTCTATCAAGGCATGCAAGAAAATGGAATTGACGCTTAACATTCAGAAGACAAGGTCCTCCCTCCATCAACAAGCTCTTAATGAGCAGTCCTCAGCTCCAGTAATTGATTCATGTGGCAGGGCACTAGGTGTGCCTGCCACTTTACAGCCCTGGAGCTGGCAGCCTAATGAGGGCAGCCATTTTAGGCTCAGGGCTGCCTATATAAACAAAGCAGTTTGGCTGCTGGAGGGCAGGCAACAACATGACCTGGCCTGAGGGCTGCCGAGTTTCATCCAGAGGTAAGGGAGGAGCTGTAGGAGATGGTAGGAGGCTCATGGTCCTGGGCACGACTGGAAACTACACCCTGCTGGGAGTGGGTGGCCTGGTGGGGCTCCCAGTGGTGCGGGAGCCCCCAGGAAATGCCAGGCCAGTGATCACCCTGGTGAAAGGCGGGTCAGGGCTCCTTAACCCCTAGCCCTCACCTTAGGGATGGGTCACGTTCCATTGGAGGTAATTGTGGGGGTGCAAGCCCTGAGGAGGAGAGTTGGAGGCCAGGTGTGGCCAAGGCCGCCTGAGCCCTGTGGGGGTGCAAGCCCCGAAGAAGAGAGTTGGAGGCCAGGCACAACTACGGCCACCTGAGCTCACCTGTGGAGGGAAGCCCTGAGACCCTGAGTAAAGGGGGCATTACGAGCGTGTGGAGCCCCCGGTGGGAGGGGGGCAGCGTGTGGAGCCCTGGGAAAGGAGAGGGGGCTCAGCCAGAGAGAGGGAGCTGAGTCCTGACCCCAGTAAGTCTTCCAGTGTGGGGAGGCAGAGTTTGGGTCGAATATAACGCCGGTAGTAGCACCACAACCTGCTGCCCAGGGCGGGAGTGAGAGTCCCCTGAGAGACCTTGAGGCACCAGTTGTGCTGTGAGGTAACCCCAGCTCCCCACATCCGTGGAGGAGGATCCAGAGAGGGGGACCCCAGGATAAGAGTATGGGTCATACATCAAGGCCTGCCAGAGCTTCCCCTGACTGGCCCAGGCGGGGGCCAGGACTAGGAGGGTCAGAAGGGCAAGGAGGCCCACCAAGAGGGACGCCCAAGAGCCAGGGCCCTAAGGTCCCAACTGGCCTGGAGGTGGGCTGGGGCTAGTGTGAGCCAAAGGTCCCAGTGAGGGGACCACAACTGAAGGGGACCCGGTGGCAGGAAGGTATATGGCCCGGTATGAAGGTGGCAGAGTCCGCCTGAAGGGAGGAACTCAGCTGGGGGCCCTACAGCAGGATTCTGGGCCCATCGTGGGGGACTGACGCGTATGAGAACATCATGATGTCATCAGTGAGGCTTGGGCTGCAGTGTAGGGAAGGAATGGAGCCACAGATAGCGCCCCCTAGCAACGGGGCATAAAATGGGCAGCCTCCTGTCTAATTACATTTATTAATTAATCAATTAAGACCAAGGTGTGGCGGGCGCAAAGGTGGACAGTTTGCCCAAGAACAGGTGGGCGGGCCAAGCGGAGATCGGCCCCGGTAGGCCCCCTGTTACAATTCACAGTGAGATTCTAGAGAACATTGACAACTTCCTGTACCTCAGAAGCCATCTCTCACAGAAGGCTAACACCAACGAAGAAATCCAACGTCTCCTCAAATGCACAAGTGTAGGCTTTGGACACCTGCAGAAATAGGTGTTCAAAGATCACATCAGATCTGAAATGAAGCTCATGGTTTGTCAAGCAGTTGTGATCCCCGCCTTACTGTATGAGAACTGAGACATGGAAAATGTACAGGGGATCTCAGGTTGCTGGAGAAGTAGCATCAGCACTGCCTGTGGAAGATCCTTTGAATCCAGTGGGAAGATAGGCGCACCAACATTAGTATCCTTTTTCAAGCAAACACCATGAGCATTGAGGTGATGATCATCCAACATCAATTTCACTGGGCCAGCCATGTCGTCCAGGTGTCTAGCTTCAGGCTCCTGAAGCAGGCTTTTATTTTCTCAGCTGTTAAGGTGTACACTCAAGAGGAGGGCAGAGAAAGCAATTCAAGGACGTTTTCAAGGCCAACTTGAAAAAAATGTGATACCAGCATCAGCTCGTAGGACACTATCACTCAGGACCTCCCCAAATGGAGGAAGAGTGCTGCAGGGTTCTCAGTACTTTGAAACCTCATGACAGTAACGGGAGATGAAAAACCAGGAGCAGCAGAAACAGCATTTTGCAGACTAAATCGGGAATCTGGAGCCACCCACCCCACACAGAAACACGTGCCTGAGTTGCAGCAGGGTCTGTCGACCCCAGATCAGCATCATCAGCCATCTTCAGACCCACAGATAAGGCGGTCATGGAAGACGATCAGCCTCAGCTGCGAGGGATTGCTGAAGAAGACTACTCACAAGAACCCCAAAATGGCAATTTTCAAAGTAACACAGTTTTTCCCTCAGGCCTCCTTAATTAGATCAAGATAGAAAATGCATTGCATCAGGATCATGCCTGAATCTCAAATTCTAACACTGCTCTTTTAGAATCATGTATCAGTTTGGAAGCAAAGGCTAGCTATTATAAAGCCTCCAGGAAATGCTTTTGTGCTGTTATGAAATGTTAGTGTCTGGGAGACCATTTTTTAAACTCCCCTGTATTACTCCAGTGCCATCCCTTCCAAGAGCTGCATGATAAATGTAGTATTTTGCCAAGCTTTGTACTACTTAAGAGACTAAAAATCACCTTAAACTTGGAAGACTTGAGTTCTTCCAAGTAAATACTGGATTGCTACTGAGTGAATGTTAAGAAAACTATAAGACATGTATGACTTTACTTTCCTCAGAGAAGGCCACATGAAAGATGCCAATATCAAAAGATGGATGGGTGGAAAGAATATTTTGTGCTACCACTTAGAAAAAAAAGAAAGCAAGTCTTAAACTTTGAGGCAGGGTAGTAACATGGTTCTTGAGGGGTATCTTTGGAAAATATTTCAAGCTGAACCAAAATACCTTCATAGGTGCAGCTATTGGGTGCAGAATTGTACAAACTGCAGGCATTAGTTAAGTGGTGTGGGCAAAATACAGCCTGTGTACCAGATCCGGCCCTCCAGCTGATTGCATCTGCCCCTTGGCTGCCCCCTCAGCAGTCTGCATGGAGCCAAGCCCCGCCTGGGGCAGCCAGCACTGCAGTCCAGCCTGCACACACTGGCCCTGGCCAGCACACACAGCTTCTGGTAGGGCTCCTCCTGGTGCAGCTGAAGCTGCCCCGGTGCTGCTCAGCTCCCCTCGCCTCCAGCGGCAGTTCCTCCTCCTGCTCCTGCCTTGCCACTCTGGCTGGGGAGGAAGCTTCAGCCAGGCAGTTCCTGCCCTAGGGCATGGGGCTCTGGCTCAAACTCCCAGCCACCATCCACCCACTCTGCCCCCATGGCGAAATGAGCAGCCACCTGCAGGCAGCTGAGTGGGTGGAAGGCAGGTGGGAGTGGGAGCTGCTCAGCTGAAGCTTCCTCCCTGCCCAGAGCACTGCAGCAAGGGCAAAAGCCAGGAGGAGCCACAGCTAGAGGCAAGGGGAGTTGAGCATCACCAAGGTGGCTGCAGCCATACTGGGAGAAGCCCTACCAGAAGCTGTGCATGCCGGCAGGAGCTGCCCTGGCAGGAGCATACTGGGCTCAGCCCCATGCAAAGTACTGCAGGGGCAGCCGCGGACCACACCACCTGAGTGAGCTTTGCTGCATGTGCCCCGTGACCCCCAGGACCTAGCACTCAGGCAGCCTCTCACCCCATCCCATCCCCCACACACACCCCACAGGACAGGGACATGCAGGGAGCAGCTCAGCCCTGACCCCAACCCCACACTGCCCCTGCCCCATGATCTTCAGGGTCCATAGCTGGGCAGGCATGGAAATGCATCCAAGTCTGGGACTGGGATCTTGGAGCAGTGACAGCACAGGCCCAGGGCAGAGCCACGATTCACTCACCGCCACACCCTTGCCCGCAGAACCCACGCTCGTTGCAGGGGCGTGCAGGCAGCAGATCACAGGTCTGCTCTGAGCCCCAGCCCGGTGCTGTCACCACTGCATGATCCTGGCCTCGCCCACCTGCTCCTGAGCATCGCTCCCCACCCATGACCCCATCCCACATAGGGAATTTTGTTAAGTTGGGGGGGAGCTGACCCAGCCTACCGTAACTCATCAAAACTCCCTGTGTGGCCCATGGGCCCAAATAATTGCCCACCCCTGGTTAAGCGTGTGTCTTCAGTTCTTTTCCTCTGCTCTTTCTATTGTCTTTGCCTTTCAGTGTTTTTTCTGGAGCTCTCGCTGCCCTTCCACACAAGTGGTGAAGGTTCCTGCAGATACATTTGGAAAAAAAAAAAAGTAAATTTTTACTTGGTTTCCCAGGAATATGTCCAGTAACCAGGCCAATCTATACTCAGTTTTTGCATAAAGACTATAAACTGAAGATTTTTTTTCTGTTCTGTGACTTGGGGATTGCTGAAGTGTTCTGATTAACATAGCCACTATTCCTGATTTTATTATTACTGCTAGCTTTAGAATAATACTGATTTGCTTCTGATTGACAGATCTGCCTTTTTCCATGGCTTGTATGTACAGGATGCAGCCTAATGGTATTAGCACTTCCATACATTGAAAGAAAAAAATTGAAAGCCTATGTTCCTATTAAAAACAGTCTGTTCAGAGAGAGATTCATGTGCATAATGAGAGAAATTAATAATCTCCATATCTTTCTTTAGCAACAAACGCTTCCCCCCATAGTTTCACTTTACAAAAAAGTGGCATTTTAGACGCAATGTAAAAAAAAGAAAACAGTGTTTTCTGCCAGAATGTTTCATTTAGAAATGAGCTGCTAATTCCTTCAGCCCAATTCAAAGTGTTTTGAAAATAAGCCATTGAGCAGCAAAATCTTGGGGGTTCAGTCCTGCGGGATTTAAATTCAGTTTGGTGTCTTTGGATTTAATTGCTGCTTTCTTGAAAGGAAAATTTCCATTTTCAGTAGAAATTAATTGAGAATGAAATGCTTGTGTTTCAGGATAAATGAATGCATGGTACCCTGGAGTACCATGGTACTCTTCCATTACAGGGAAGAGCAGTTCCCATTACTTAGTGGCTGTGTCTGCACAAGACACTGACTGTGCAGTTACTGCACAATCATTTAATACTTGCATACACAAGTACTAAATGACTGCGCAGTAACTGGTGTTACTGCTTCTTGGGGACTCTGCGCAGTAGGATCGCATCATACTTTGTGCCACACAACACTTGCGCAGTAGTAACAAGCCACTACTCAGTCAGCATCTTGTGTAGATGCTACCAGTATGTCTTAAATTAGATCTTTTTGGGAAAAGAATGTAGACTTGTTTATATATGAATTTAATATTCATTATCTAAACCAGAATATTTTTCATGTGAAAGCCTTAACTGTAGTCAGGGTAGCTTGACAAAAAAAAAAATTAAAATGCTCTCTGTACCGTGTTAAGGTGCATACAATGTTAAATGCCTTTTCTACATATGTATCCAGAAACTCTTGGATATCTCTGCCTTAAAATCTGTTTTTGTACAAAATGAACCATTGATTTTTTTATACATGTATTAATTTCTTCTTTCTGTGGCTGTTAAAAGGTGACGGCTTCTCTCTTGGGCTCACCTTCAAAGACCTGTTCTTTACTGATCCTGACAGAAAATGAGAATGAAAAGAGAAAATGGGTAGGAATCCTGGAAGGGCTGCAATCTATCCTGCACAAAAACAGACTTAAAAACCAAGTTGTACATATTCCACAAGAAGCCTATGACAGTACTCTGCCACTCATTAAAACAAGCTTAGCTGCTGCTATTTTAGGTATGTTTGTTTTACCCTTCATACAGCCTGTGCTCTGCTACAGCATTAAGGTAGACTATTCTGTTAAATGCAGTGACACCGTAATGTAATCCTCAAGTAATCTCTTCCCATAAAAGGATGGTGGGTAAACTTTATTACTTTTTTTTTAAGATGCTAATCTTAACTCTCCTTTCAGATCATTAACCGTATGCGTAAGAGGTATTTGAGAGAACCTTTTCTCCACAAAAATGCTGTGCCTGGTTAAATAAGAAAAGCCACAACTCATATCAGAAGTTTGTAGATCCTTTTAAGTCTAGCATGGTTATAGTACACCAATTTCTGTAGCCACCAGCAAACAAGGGAGTTATATGACTAGCATCATGTCTAGATGTCTTTGTCTTCTCAGTCCAAATGATCAGGCACACATTCATGGTTAGTCACCTTCAGTGACCTTTATCGCAAGTCTGGAGTGGGACTCTTCTCTGGAACAATAGTGAGATGCCTTATTCGCTCTGCCATTTGACTTCACCATCCTTCCCATGTGGTTGTGCCTACTGTGTTGCTCATTTTCTTCAGCAAAACAGTTACTGTATCTTGTGACAACCCATTCTTTGGTTGGGGCAGAGTATAAAATGTACATGATGCAAAACTATTGTAACACTGTTTTCTGCAAGGTGATTCAGCTATTTGCACTATTTATTGGGAGGAAATTTTTTCCTGATGTTAAAAAAAAAATAATAATTCTATAAGTAACATTAAACACATTTAGATGAGTTATTCTTTTTCTCCTTTCTGGTTTAGATCGAGACAGAATAGCAATTGGTTCTGAAGAAGGACTGTATGTGATAGAGGTTACCCGTGATGGTAAGTTAGGTCTGAGTGCATGCCCTGATTACATGCTAAATAATGAGCATCATAAATTTTAGTGCTCCTTCTTAATGTATGTTACACCACAGCCTTTCATATGTAGACTGAATTAACTAATAAGATAGAAACCGGGGTCTGAAATGCAAACACTAATTTGGTTATTATCATTATGCTTAGTCGGCTGCCTGAAGTTAAGGGGCCAGCTCACTGGGCATAATCTGGGGCACAGCTCTCACCTTAAACTGCCTTCTCACAGCAGGCAGCAAAGCACTTGTCACATACCACACTAATTCATATATAATGAATAGCCAAGCAGCCATTCAAGGAAATACATTTTGGGGGTTTTATATTATCTAGAGTTTGAGTTGAAACAGAAATCTGACAACATATTGGTGTAGGAAATGAAACTGATTTCTTCAACCTGCTCAGTCAGATGACTTGCACTGGCATCTACTAGAATGGTTAAAGATGGCTGGCTGTGTCTTGCTAGCACAGCATCTACTGGAATTTTATAACAGAAATTCTTGCACGCTATAAATCTGGATTTGTTTTCTTCCATTTACTTTCTCCCCTCAACTGGTGGAATTTTTTTTTACTGTTGCTGCCATTGGTTTAACATTCCACACTGTGGGCATGACTGATGGACAAAACGAGCATTGACTTCTAGATATGCTAGATGCCTCGTTCCTGCTCTTTCTTTCACCACCTTTTCCTTTCCTCTTCCAAAGTTCCTGTCCAGCTGATTAGGTCAGGCCTCCATCCTTTTTTTATTCTTGGTGCAGACTACCCGTCCACTTCCTGGTCATCTTGGTGGCAGAGGAACAGGCCAAAGATAGTATTTCTAAACTCTTGAGGAGTTCTTACCACCAGCTGTAGCAGTGCATACATGCAGGAAACTCCAGGCAGTATGTGAGCAGGGATTACTACTTAGTCCTCTGTCAGATCCTGTGCCCTATTCCCCTTGAGGAATTGTTTTGGAGCTTATTTACCAGCCTTTAGAGCTACAGAAGGAAGGAAGGAAGCATTCCTCCTTTCGGTCTGATTTTACTAGAGACCAAACACATGTGGTTGAGGGGAGCATTATGTCTCGGTTCCATGAAGAAGGCAAGAAAGCCAGAAAGTTACTAACAGAAATGAGTTTAGGGACCTCTGTATGGTAATTAACCCTTCATATCTGCTCCCCTTGCTTAATTTGTAGTACAGCTAGTTTGTGGTTAAAGCTGTATTATAACATTGTTGCAGTGTTTTGTTGTTTATTTCATTTCTCTAAAATATTTTGTGTAATGCTTTAGGATAGGGGGTACAGCCCATGGAGCTGAATGATTCAGTCTGTGGGTCACTGAACTGACCCCCATGCCTTGGCCCCAGCCTAGGCCCCTGTGTACTCTGTGACACATGGGCTGGACCCTGCACCATGGGTGCTGCAGGCAACACAGAGGGTCAGTCCAGGGCTCTGCATGCAGCACACACCAGCCCCAGGGCTCTCTACACACAGGTACAGCACAGATAACACACTGCCTGCAGCATATGGGCTGGACCTAGCACTGCACACAGTTCGGGGTGCTGGGCCCAGCATGGTCCAGCCCACAAACTGAGTTAGGGGCATGCATCTGGCCCATGGGGCTGGATGAGTTTGACACCCTTGCTTTAGAGCAGAGGTGTCCAACTTCTCAGCAGACAAGGTTTGCATTTGCTCAGGCTGCTTGCTGCATGGACAAGTCCCACCGCTGCCACACAGCCAGCTCAGCTTTCCCCTGCTGCGCACCTGGCTCCTGGCCTCAGTGACAGCCTGGCCCCCTGGAGTGGGGCTGGGAAGCAGAAGTTGGAGGAAGAAAAGCTGCTACTACATCCAAAGCAATGAGGGGAGCAACAGTAAGAGAGAGAGTCCACAGCAGTGCATTAGCTTCTTGCAGGCTGCCAGTTGGACAGCCCCTGCTTCAGAGCATTCTGAAGCAAG